TTACATACATACATACATACATACATACATACATACATACCTACATACATACATACATACTTTATTGTAACTCCCTAAAAAGGGTTTTTCAGTCACAAGGCTACTAAATATCTAAAATAACTAAATAAATTACCAAATAACTAATATAATAAATAACATTAAAAATAAGTGAAATACAATGGATCATATACTAATTAAAAATTCATAGATTGGTCAGAGAAAAGTTGGTTAACAATTTGATTCTAAAAAGTTTGATCGATTCTGAAGATTTAACATTGTCTCTTAGATAATTCAAGAGCTTTGCTCTGCGGTAGGCGAAGGACCGTTGACCAGTGGTTAGGCGGCACCTGGAAACGTTCAGTTGATCGCGTTGTCTAGTGTTTCTAGTGTGAATTTGTGAACGCGTAGTAAATTTCTTGATTAGGTAGTCGGGCAACACAACCTGGGCGGAAATGACGTTTCAACAACCTGGGTGAAAGTGACATTTAAACAACCTGGGCGCAAGTGACATTTCAACAACCTGGGCGGCAGTGACATTTAAACAACCTGGGCGGCAGTGACATTTTAACAACCAGGGCTGAAGTGACATTTCAACAACCTGGGCGAAAGTTATCAACAGAATGTTATAAGACTGGCTCGTGAAAAGTGATTGGTCAGCTGTATGACTTGGGTTAAGAAAAGCTTACCTTGACAAAGGACACCGTTCCCAACGAATCCTTTCAGGCAAGAACAATTATATGAACCAAGAGTGTTGGTACATTTAGCGTATTCGTGACATTCGTTGAGATTGGAAGCTTGGCACTCGTCAAAGTCTGTTTTACGAAAAAATTTGAAAATCGAGTCAAAGTCGTCACGCTAAAATAAACGATAACGAAATTTTCAGACTGATTGCCCCTAGAGGCGGTTCCCTTTACACCCTCACGTAAGTTTCCATATTTTTCTCTATACTGTTCTCTATACATTTCTTGAGGTGCTGACAAGGAGAATTTGTTTAACAATCATGAGCTTCTTTAGTTGGTGATCATTTTCTTTACTCTCATAACCTTAATGTGTGATTCAGGGGTGATTCTGTAAGGAGAAATTAGATGTTAGTCTCTTTTAAGGGTTTAAGGTTTGAGAGTCTTAAAAAAGCCAATCAAAGCAAATTCTAATTCTGTAGAAAGCCAATCAGGGGTCAGATTACAAAAAATGTATCGACGAAATTTCCTACAATAGAAATTTTGACAGTTTTCACTGAAAAAAAAATCCAATATAATTGAATAAGGGAAAAGTCATTTTCCATCGGCTTGGTAGCCTCCGTACATCCAGTTATATTACCTGTAGGAGAGTTTAGAATAAACGGCGGCTGAACTCAGGCTATCGGCTTGGGGGCAGGAAGATTTTTGGGGAATGACATGATTTTCGGGAACAGTCGTTGCTAACAGAGTATAAGGGGGGGACCATAGAAAACTGACTGCCAATGAGGGGGGAGGGATCATTAGAACGCAAAAAGAGTTTTAGGGGTCAGGTTAATTTTATTGTGACACAACTCAATCTTCCAAACCTGGCCATAAACAATGACCGGTCCGTAAAATGAGAGGAACGATGAAAACAGGGAAGAAAATAAAAAACAAGATGGCGCTCAAATAGAAAAGGAAAATTGCAAAAATTTATACCTGTTGACTCCAGTGAAGTGGGGTCCACGTGGTACTTTCCCAGCATGCCACTTCTCAGAGTTTCGTTCATGAAGTCGACCAACTGGCGCTGACTAATTTGAGCCTGTGCATCGATTTTAATGAGCAGTCTTGGAATAACGCTACCATTGCTGGATACACAGAAAATGATGGTAAGTAAATGAAAAACGGTAGTATGCCAAAGTGACTGTACGAAATCCCAAGAACTTACTTGAAATCAAGAACGGTAGCAGCTACAAACAATTCTCCAAGTATTGATTTCGACTGAATGAATGTTGTTTCCAGCTAAAATAGGGACGGAAGTGCAAACAATTAAGTTAATGAATGAGAGCGTAAGCACTGCATGCCGGGGTCTATCCCTCTTCACCCACAATTTTCAGATCAATTTTAATACCAAAGCAACTGCGTACCTACTCCTCCCTCTCCCCAAACCCAACATTAACTTTAACTTGTTATAAGAATGTTGTTGGTTTAGGGGAGGGGTGGGTGTGTAGTTGCCTTGCTACTGACATTGACTCAAATTTTCTTCCAATATTTTCTGGCGTTGCAAATTTCGTAGTATCGTCGAGTTTGATCGGATAATGAAAATCGAGAATTCCACCGACGACATCTTGGTTCAAAGACGTTCTCGCGCATTTAGTTCCCTCACACGAGGGAGTATTTCTTAAACTGAGATCAACGGATCAGCAAATTACCTCAATTTCCAAACCTCTTGATAGGGATTTGAAGGAAGCAGATTCCATGTCTCGAAGTTCGGCCGAAAACATTTCATTCGTTATTTTGAATGACACAACATAGTTAGTTGTTCTTCTAAATTCTACAAAAAAGTAAAGAGAGCATAAAACAGATAAGTGGCAGAGACCAATCAGAGCAATCGTAAGAAGTGCGGAAAAAGGGACGTGCCTGAGTGGCTATTGGTTTTAGTTACGTATCTGATTGGTTGAAAATGAATGGTGCGAGTTTTCTGGACCAATCAGAAGTGTCTGGCAAAATCTGAATGCCATCCCGCATCACTTGCTGACGACACTCAGTTAAAAAATTGCTCTAGCCGAGTTTCGCTTAAAGTAAGGAACCAGTTGGAGGGCGGTGAAGGGGAGGGGGGGTGAGTAGGTGAGTTTGGAGGATTTTGGGGGATTACCTAGTTTTCAGGTGGGACAGAAGGCGATAAGCCGTTTCTAACAGAATTTTAAGTGGGTAATATAGAAAATTGACTGCCAACAGGGGGGGGGTCATTGAAACACTACAGGGACTTATTGGGGAGGGACAGGTAAATTTCGTCGTAGCACAACCAGAATCCTCCGGCTCCTCTCCCCCCCACACACACACACACACACACACCCCTCCCCCCTTTTCCAAGGCGAGAAATATCAATAGATAGTGATGAATTTGGATTCACTAACCTTTTGGCAAAAGGATGATAACTTGTTTCCTTGTTTGACTCCCTTTACATTTGTCTTTTACAGTCCAAATTCGTTCCAGTCTCCCCTCCCTGTTTGAATTTGAGCAGTCACCTTTGTTTCTGTCAAGGTAGGTTATCGTCACATTCCTCGGACACACGTTTGTAACACTAGAGACTGAAACCTGTCCGACAAACTTCGGATCTAAATATTTCTTCTCCCTACAAGTGAAGACGATATCTTTCGGAAAGATTATTTTCGGATCTTCTGGGTTATGTATCGTTATACGCTGGATGCCCGTGACAGTATTATCACAAGAATCTCTTAAAATCCAAACTCTGTCAAATATGCGCCCACACGCATCATTTCTCACAATGCTATCCTTATGCCCGATTTTGGTTCCCCCACGAATTCTACATACGCCGTGAGCTGAGCCCGTTGCATTCTCAAGGTTGGACACACTCGATGATCTATGGCATAATGTTGTGACGTAATCTTTGGGTGTGGTTATTGTAGGCACTGGCGTGACTAAATCTTCGTCGACTCTACCATCTTGATCATCGTCAACGTAATTCTTTAATTCTTCATCCGTGACACCATCACAATCATTGTCAATGTTGTCCCCACCCACAGTGTTTGTTTGTATACAAGAATTGTTCACTGCCTGCCGCTGCATTTTCATACCAGCTGGCATAGCAAACAATCTTCCATTGCGATTCGTTCCATAAAAAACCGCAGAAAAAGTTGTCAGCGAGTTCACGTGGTACACATGGTAGGTACCATTACTGGTCAATTGAATCGAAGCACTTGAGAACCCCCCAGAGCCAGGAATCGCAATCCAGTTCTTGATAACACTGTCTGCATCCTTAACACGAAGATCGCTTCGTAAACTAGTGTCAATAATGATATTTACAGAGCAATTGAAAGTATTTCCCTGTCCATCTTGAGAAACATGAACTGTGTAGTCGTTAGTGAACCATTGTACTGGAGGTACCACATTCATCGAAGGGCTATTTCCTGTTTTGGAGTATTGCATCACAAGGCTCGGTTGAGAAGTACTGATCACCAAGGACTTCTCCCATGATGCATCGATCTTATATTTCTCTCCTTCGTTTAATGACCCTTTGTTTTGAGAATCAACAAAAACTGCGGTATTTTGATTCGCGGCTACTACGTGAAATTCGTCTCCCCATGGCGTGGGGTTGGTAACAAAAACTTTTCCCCAGAGGGATACCGGGGGTATTTGCTCCACCAGGTGATTGCATGGTAGCTGATTTTCAGGCACCATGGTGCAGTCATTCCCAGTGAATACTGCAATTGGCTTCGTCGACCTAATAATGGTGCCGGTGAGATCTTGGTCAGCCAGAATTTGAAACACATCTAAATAATTTAGATTTTCGCTTAAGACGGCACCGTTTCCATACCATTTATCCTCATACTGAACTCTACCTTTTGTTCGTAATGTGATCGTTACATTCGTGTCATCCGTCGTCGCTACGACCTGAATTATAGCATTGATTACAGGGTGATACGTCGCTGCTATGTAAAACGTACCAAGAGCATCCACAGGTAACCCAAGAAACCCTTCCACATCTGGGGTCGCATCCACCAATCCCTGTACAGATATGGGCTTAGCGGCCGTAATTCGGATACCCTTTTTTATCTCTGATCCTGAGTTGCAATTCGTACGTACACCTCCCGACAGTTTAACGATTGTCGACCCTCCAGCTGACAAAGGGTACGACTTCTCTGGAAATTCCGTGAGAGAAGGCACATGGACTCGTACCAGGCCATCCTCAAAGCTGGATATGTACAGTACATTGTTTCCAGAAAAGAGGCGAATCGGATGTTGAGGCATAAAACTCAAGACGAATTCTTTACCTCTGTGACTAACTGAGACTGAAAGAGAACAGCGACAAAGAAAGGATTAATTTTCCCCTTTAGCTGTCACACATATCCTTGTAAATCAGCTTCGAGAATTAGGTGTTGGATCAAGAAAACAACTTCTGCCTGCTGATGAGTTTGAGTATTCTCATTACCTTTTTGCTGAATAATGCAGGGATATTATAGGGAGAAGTTACATATGAATCACTTCTGGGAGTTAAAGGGTTAAAGGACAGGCGGGCCATGGTAACTCAGATATTTTTTTTCCTTGTCGGAATAGTGTTCTAATGACAAATTTTTGCAGCAAAACAATTAAGAGGAGTTAAGTTTGCTCTCCAACAACAAAACCTTTCATTTCAGACCCAATTTTGATTGCTACTGCCTCTTAACCCTTAGAAATCGAAGATAAGCATGCGTATTCTTCATAGTGTTCTCCCTACGTTTCCAATGACCCGACTCTGACAAGGAGAAGTTGTCTAATAATTACAGCAAATTATGCAAAAAATCTAGAAAGATTTAAGCTTAAATCTCGTTTAACGTTTAAAGCGACATATCAATGACTGCAACCATCGTGTTGTATACAAACCTTGCAAACTTTAAAACACGTTCTCTAGTTATACCTGCTAGGGTATTCAGTAAAATTTCCGGTAAGATTTTCGCGGACAACCTGATCGATTTCTCTTACATTGTGTGCTGAGACTGAAACTTTTCACCTCAAGCAAATCTCCGTCGCACGGTCCAAACAAACATAGCGAGCAACTGAGCTACTAGTATAATGTCCGTGTTAAAACACACGAAAGTACTCTAAAGCACACTTCACTCTGATTGGGCAGAAAAACACAAAGATTTTCTGGCACCAATCAGATGGCAGAATGACTGCGACCGTTTGGAACTAGTCTTGTAAGACAATGTCCCCAGGGGCTCTTCATGCCCTAACTTGAAATCGACCCACAGCCCCTGGGTCTCCGAGGATG